ATTTAGAAAAGAGCTTAAATGAGTGATTGCTGAGGGCCAAAAAAGAATTACCAGTTTATAGATTACAGTTTTCAGCAAAACCTCCAGCATTTATGTAATAGTTGTATAAACTTCCTTTCCTAATTTTCTTTTTTTTCCTATTAAATGGCACCATCATTCTCTTACACTCAACCCTGAAGTAATATTTGATTTCTAACTACTTCACCCCATCCATTCAATTCTTTCTACTGCCTGTCACCCAATCTCCCATTATCTTATTGTAGAATTCTTCTCAACAGATGATAGGTTGGTGTCCCAATTGTTTCTTTATATTATCCCTCTCTATTTAAGACCCTAAAGCTTTGTCCTATTAACTCTTCAAGTTTGAACACCTCAGTTTGGCTTTTAAGTCCCTTCTTAATCCAGTTTCACTCTTATTTTACATCTCCAGATTCTCTAACACAAATCAGGCTGGTCTTCTTACTGTAAGCCCAATATCCAGGGCTGTGCTGCAGCTAGTTCTAACTGGGAAAGTCCATTGTTAAATTCTGAATGTGAGAATTTCTACCTCAGAAATCAGTAATTGCTACAAATTGGGGCTTGTCATTGTTTTGTTGATTACCTAGACTTAAGAAAGTGTTAATATTACAGATTAATATATATCACACACACACAAAGTTTGTGTATATAGTGTGTATATGTGTGTGTATATATGTATGTATGTGTACACTCTCCCTCTCTGTTATTCATTAACATGTTATGTTAAAATTGCATATGTTAAATATTAACATATACAGTATCTGTATATGTGTGTATATATATGTATGTATATGTCTCACTCTCCCTCTTTGTTAAACATTAACCAGTATATTAGTGTATTGCCCTATAAACATTACTTGAACTCAGCAGGAATGCAGTTGAAAGCTCAAAGAATGAAGTCATCACCAGACTGGAAGCCTGGTGACTGTAGGATAATAATAATAATAATAACAATAATTTGCATTTGCATAACTCTTTTAAGATTTACAAAGTGCCTTACATCCCATTATCTCATTTGAGCCTCACAACCTCCTTGCAACATCCCACAATAACTTCTATTTTCAAGTCTTTCCTCAAGTTTTTCCCATTGTCTATTCAAATCCTAGCCACCCTGCAAGGACTACCTCTTTCATGAAGCCCTTTCCTGATAATGCTGGTGGATTCTGATCTCATTCTAATGATAATCCACTTACTACTTCTTTCTTCCCTTCTATCTTCCCTCCCTTTTCTATCCCCCTTTCTTGCTGCCTATAGGGCAAGTTAGATTTCTGTACCTGATTATGTTATTCCCTCCTTGAGCCAAATCTGATGACAGCAAGCTTCAAACAATGCTCATCTCTCTCCCTTTCCCTCTACTGTAATAGGTTTTTGTGCCTTTTCCTGTAATTTACCCTTGTCTGCCTCCTTCTTTCCTTTTCTCCCAGTACATTCTTAGATCCATTTAACCCACTTGATTAGATTTTTTATCATTACATCAAAGACAACTTATACCCACCCCCTCTTTGTATACCCCTTTAAAATGGTGTAATAACAATACAGTTCTCAAGAGTTACAAGTGTCATCTTCCCTTGTAGGGATGCAAACATTTTGCCCTTATTAATAACATGTTGTTTTTTCTGTCCTGTTTACCTTTTCATGTCTCTCTTGAGTTTTGTATTTGAAGATCAAATTTTCTGTTGAGCTCTGGTCTTTTTATCAGGAATGTTTGGAAGTCTCCTATTTCATTGACTATCCTTCTCCTTCCCTAAAGGATTATACTCATTTTCACTGGATATTTGATCTTTGGTTGTAATCCAAGCTCCTTTGCCTTATGGAAGATCATATTCTACTCCCTATGATCTTTTAAGGTAGAAGCTGCAAGGTCCTGCATAATCCTGACTGTGGTTCCATGATATTTAAATTGTTTCTTTCTGGCTGCTGGCAGTATTTTCTCTTTGACCTGGTAATTTTGGAATTTGGCTACTATATTCCTTGGCATTTTAAATTTGGGATCTCTTTCAGGAGGTGATTGGTGGATTCTTTCTATGGTTATTTTTACCCTCTGGTTTTAGGACCTCAGGGCAGTTTTCCTTGATGATTTTCTGAAAGCTGCTGTCCAGGCTCTTTTTTTCATCATGATTTTCAGGTAGACCAATAATTTTTTCTTTTAGGCAACTGGGGTTAAGAAGTGACTTGCCCAGGGTCACACAGCTAGTAAGTGTCACGTGTTTCGTCTGAGGCTGAATTTGAACCTGGGGCCTCCTGACTTCAGGGCTCTATCCACTGTACCACCTAGCTGCCCCTTAGACCAATAATTTTTAAATTGTCTCTCCTGGATCTGTTTTCCAGGTCAGTTGTTTTACCAGTGAGTGAAGTGAGCAGAACCAGGATAACATTGTACACAATAACAGCACACTGTGCAATGACTAACTTTGATACTCTTAGCCCTTCTCAGCAATGCAAGGATCTAAGACATCTCCAAAGGTCTCATGATGCAAAATGCTATCCACATCCAGAGAAAGAACTATGGAGTTTGAATGCAGATTGAAGCATACTATTTACTCTTCTTTTTTCTGTTTGTTTTGTTTCCTCTTTCTTGTGGTTCCTCCTATTGGTTTTAATTCTTCCTTACAACGTGACTAATGTGAAAATATGTTTAATAGTAATGTATATGTATAGCCTATATCAGATTGCACATCATCTTGGAGAGGGAGGTAGAGAGGAAGGGGGAGAAAATTTTTAAAACTCAAAAGCTTAAGGAAGTGATTGTTAAGTCAAAATGAATTAATAAAAAAAAATCAGGAAACAGTTGCAGCAATCTAAGAAGCAGAGAGCTCGTGGATTAGTGCTTTTGAACTCGAGGAACATGAATGAGTACCAACTATGTGCACGGTACTATGACAGGTGCGGATTACAAAGAAAAAACTGAAATCATCCTACTTTTGAGCAGCACCTTAGTTGGAATCCTAGCTCAGCCAAATAGAGTCAGTGCCCACAGGGGTCAATTTCCTCACTGCATAAAATGAAGGGACTGGATTGGATGACTTCTGAAGCCCCTTACAGTTCTAAGATCCGGTAGGGTTAATTGGGATAATATTTTATACGCCCTTTTTAAATTACATTAAATTTTAAATTAAAGGAAGGCATAGTTACACATTCCAGATTAGAACGCCCTAAAGTACATCAAATTCCTTTTCAGTAGGTGACTTATTCTTTATGAGAAGAAAGCAAAAGTCTTCTGAAAAAAATAATTCACATCTTAGTCCCACAGTTCGGGACATGGGTCTCCTTCCCTGCTTAGGGCTGAGAGGAAAAGTGTTTGCTCACATAGCACTGCAGATCCAGTTTGGTGAGATTTTTGGTCTTCATCTGGCACTGTGTGTGTGTGGGGTGTGTGTGTGTGTGTGTGTGTGCACAATGAGGAAAAAGTTGAGGAGCTTATCTTTAACCTTTCACCTCTGTCATTCAGAAAAACAGGTTCTGACTAATCACTGTTGCAGACACAGGAGACGCTTTTTGGAAGGAAAATACATTGAAAAAACCTTGTTGGCCCCTGTGGAGAGAAGAGATGAGAAGCGAAAGGGAGGAGATTAGGAATAGGGAAGCAGCAGAGGAAGCCTTAAAAAAAATTATTCGGAACTTAAAAAAACTACAAACAAATGGGCTTTTCCACATGTGTGTGTTTACACATACATACATATATACATACATATATTTACGTATATCAGAAAAACAGGATTCTATATGAAACTGAAGATCTCTTATGTAGAGCTTGCTTTTTTAAAAAGTATATAATAAATTAACTTGTAGCTGTAGCTTGCAAAGATGTCCTGCTAGTCTATTTCTTTTTTAAAATTTTTTTTAACACCAAATAAAACGGAAATTTCTATATACAAAGCAAAACAGAAAAAAAAGATTGCACATGAAACCGAAGATCTCTCTTATGGACAGCTTGCTTTTCAAATGTACAATGAATTCAACCTTTGACTTTCAAGGCTTACCTACTTGTCTGTGCTTCTTTTTGGCTTTCCTTCTGTTCTGTGCATTAAAAAAAAAAGTCCCAAATGAAATCCCATCTTCTACATGAAGCCTTTCCCAATTCCTTTCACCCCGTGTTATTTCCGATTTATCCTGTATGTAGATTGCTTTATATATGTTTACATGTCATCTCTTCCATTAGATTGTAAGCTCTTTGGGGGCAGGGAATATCATGTTTCTTTTTTATGTCTCTAGTATTTAGCATAGTACCTGTCATGTAGTAGGCGGTTAATAAATATTGATTTATTTTTTGAATGACTTTTCCCCTTTTTTCTTTCCTTTTTTTTGGTAACCTTTCCTTTTCGCTACACTATCCGCCTGCACTCCCCCGAACCCTCCATATTTTTTCCTCCACTCCAAAAAGAAAAGGGAAAGAAACCCCTTGGCACAAAGGTGCGCAGAGTTAAACGTTCGGGAAGGACTCCGGCCAGAGTCCACCTCCAAGGGGGAAAGTAGGAGAGTCACCGCAGAAGCGAGAGCAGGTACAACTCCACGCGGGCGGAGACAGCAAACGCAGTACGGCGCGGCTCCGTGGTTGGCGGAGCGAACCGTCTACGGGCGGGAGCGAGTCTCCGCAGCGCCCCAGGTGGCCGCCTGTGGGAGTCGCCGCCGCCCGGGTGATTCAGAAGCGGCTCCGCCTCCGCTGGGCTCGGCAAGTCCGGTTGTCTCTCGCTCGCTGGTTTCCTGGCCCCGGTGTTGCTCCCTCCTCCTCCCTCCCTCCCTCTTGGCCCCCTCCCGGAGCACGATGGACGCGGGCCCCCCCCGCTGCCCCCGCCGCCGTCGCCGCCGCCGCCCCAGCGCGGGCCTCTGAGCAGCGGGGCCCGAGGAGCCGCGTGTCCGCGGGGGGAAGGACCCTGCCGGGGCTGCCGCCGCCTGGGGCTGGTGCGCGCTCGGCCGCTCGCTTCCGCTGTCACCGAGCCCCCCTCAGGAGGAGGAGAAGCACGAAGGGCGGGGCTTTTCCTGCGGCTCCTGCCCGGCTCGACCTGCGCGGCCTACGGCTTCCCGCGAACTCGAGGACCGCATTCGGGCCTGGCTCCGCCCGCGGCCTGGTACGGGGCGGACGGGAGAGGGAACCGGAATTGGGGCCGGGGAGGCCGGATCGGGGGCCGGGGGCCGGGGGCCTGCGGCGGGGAGGCCAGGCTGGTCGGTCTGGAGCAGGGCGGCTCTGGCTCTCCGGGGTGGGCGTGGAAGCGGAGCTCGGGCAGCCAGGATCAGGTGCCCTGGCCCGGGCCCCGGCCCCGGGGATAGGCAGTGCCGCGGCCGAGGAAGGCAGCCCCCGCCTCGACTCTTTGTTTACCCCTTACCTCGGACCCAGGAGGCGACCCGGAGCCGGCTGCCCTCTCCCAGCCCTGGGGGAGCCCGCTTGTCCTTGAGAAGAGGCTCATCTCCTCGCCCCCGGCGACCCCGCGACCCTTGGGCCCTGGAGTGGTGGGGCAGCCCCCGGTCCTGGGGGGGGAACCGCTCCCTCTGCCCTTCCTCTGCCTCCGTCTCCCCTTTTTTTGTTGTTGGGGTGGGTGGGAGGCGTCTCCATTTTCTCTCCCAAAGTTATTCTCTCTCCTTTCAGAGGACTTGGGACTAAACTTAAAAAGTGGGGAGACACACAGAGAAACAGAAGAACTAAGAGAGAGAGTGTGGGGGTGTTGGAGGGATGGATAGGGACAGACAGACTAGGGAGTGAGAAGGGGGAGAGGGAGAGGGCTGGGATGTCGGGTGCTCTTCAGTGGGCTGCCTGGCTTCAGGCTTGCTTTTGGCTTGGGGGTGCCTAAGACCAAATCCTGTTAGTCCCTGTCCCGGGGTGCACAAAGGCACATGTTGTCGGTTTCGTTCCCCCCTCCCCCGCATTCCCCCCCCCCCCGTTAGCTTACGTGGGACTAGAAAAATCTTCCTGTTGTGTCAGTTACAAAGAACATCTGTAAATGACTTGCTTTGCTGCCCTGATGTTGCTCGTTCCTTGATCTTTATCTTTTGGGTGCCCCTGTCTCCCGTTCCTTGTTGGGGTGGGGGGAGGAGGGAGGAAAAGAGGAGTATGGATTAACTATGTTAATAGTTTAACCTATGTTTATCCATCGACATATTTCTATTACTTTTACTTTAGTTGAACTTTTTTAACTCCTGAAAACTTCTCCCGAGTCCCTATTCAAATCTTTAATTTTGCTGTACGTGATTGAACTCCTTTGGAAAAGGTGCTTTTAAACATGAATACCAATAATTTTCTGAAATGTGAGGTGATTAGGGGAAATTAAATCTCATGGTGTTTGGCAGATCATTTTGTAAAAAAAAAATTGAGTGTGCCAGGGGGAAAAAAGGAAAGTAGTTTTGCCTTTTTGGCTTGGCGTTGCTGGTAATAGCAATAGTTGGATCTGAAGCTTGTTTTACTGTCTTTGACAAAAGAAGCTTTCTGGTTAGGCAGCAACTTAATCAGCTTATGTTCTCTGGCACAATTGGTTTTAATTTAGTATAGTAAGGAATACTGAATGTCAGTGAAGAGGAAAACTGAATAACTATTAAAGAACGAAATGGTTTATTGCATATATATATACTCATGAATCTTTTTTTAATTCCTAGGAGAAGACGCCAAAAATTTGATTGTAGCTGATGTATTTTTGATGCTCACTGATCTGGCTGGGGCATTTTAAGGATTTTTTTTCCTTTACTTTTTAATTTAAGCAAAGAGGCTTTTAAAAACCATGGCAGATGTGGACCCGGATACATTGCTGGAATGGCTACAGATGGGGCAGGGAGATGAAAGGGACATGCAGCTAATAGCCCTTGAACAGCTATGTATGCTGCTTTTGATGTCTGACAACGTGGATCGTTGTTTTGAAACGTAAGTAAAGCCCTTCATCATCTTCCACTGGGGTTTCTGTAGTGACATCTGTTTTCATGCCTGTCCTGACTTTAGGTTTTTAGAAATTTGCCCTTGGGTTTTTAAAATAAATTCTTTACCACTATTTTAAAGTGCTTCCAGAATTGTGGAAATGCATTTTTCTGAGCAACTGAAAATCATTCAGTGAAATAATAGCAGTGGTGATAATTGTGGTGACACAATGACTAAATAGGAAATGATCATTTTTAATTGATTAGTCGATTCATTTCCAGAATATGCCATACATCAAAGAGAAGAATATAAATATTTATCTCTTTATGTAGCTATTTCTATACCATGAAATTGACAAAAAATGCTTTGAAGGATAATGAGTGTATATTTTTGAGCTTTTTTCCTTTTGTGGGGTCAAAATAAAAATATGTTTTATAACTTTCAATTTGGAGTGTAAAAGTTGGATGGATGACATGTACCAGAGATTTAATTTTAGAAATAGTAATGACAAACTGGAAATTTGGAGGCAAAACAAAGTCTTTAACTTGTACTAGTATTCTAGCTTTTTTTCCTAAGGACATGAATTTGTGCCAAAACTTTGAAAATAAAATGATATTAAAAATTGTGTTAAATGTATGGTTCATGGCAACCTGCTTGCTCTTGTGTTGAATTTTTGAATTTTTGGGTGAATTTATTTTAAGAATGTAATTCTTACTGGAACCTTTTAAATTTAGCTATTAGTTCCAAATAAGAAGGGGAAAATAGTTGAGATGTTGGCTTAGATTTAGTTCAATTACTTTTAAATTTCTTTATTGGTATGGGAATAAAGGTAGTATTATACATGTGATAAAGGTGTTTTGTTTGTCTTGATCTTTTGTTAGTTTAAAAATATCATTGACAATGCCATTATTATGAAAAACTTTGTAAATCAGAAAAGGTTTCCACATCCCTTCAGTGACTCATTCATTTGAAGCATTATTTAATATGACAGACTCCTGGTACAACAAAAATAAGTTACTTCCTTGGAGTTAATTATATTTGGCTTTTATTAAAGTTATCATTGTGCATATATTTTTGCAGAAAAATGGGGTGTTTAAGTTTTCTTGTGACTTTAGGTATTTTGCATTTTTGTGTGTGAATGTTTGATCAGGCTTCAAAATCATTTTACCAGTGTTGGCATCATGTGTTATCATATAGTCTAATAGTAGCATAGCATTGATTTATAAGTACATTCTCCATTTCATGAAAAATGACATTGATAGCGTTAATACCCAGGTTTGGGTTATTCGAAAAAAAATCTGGAATAGAATGGGCCAGAGAATCCAGAACCGATAGCTTTATTTTATGTGGTGTAGTAATTTTCAAACTTTCACATAATACCAAAGATAGCTGTCACCTGACTAAATTATGTGAACTGCTACTTTTTAAAAGTCTAAATTCCTGTAGTCTTTTACTTGACAGTGAATGTTTATTTACTATTAAAATAGTTCTTTGGAACCCTGTCATTTTCCTCCCTGGCCGTTTCGGTGTAAATAAATGATTCTTGCTTTTTAAAATTTGAAATTAAATTCAGCACACATTAAATGCCTGCTGTTTACAAGGCATAATGGTAGTCACTGAAATTATTTAAAAATAATTTAGTGAGAACACTAAAACCAAATAAATAACGTGACTATTTATACTTGAAAATTAATGTCTTTCTACAGTATGTCCTTAATAGCTTAGTAGTCACGGCTTCTAGATTTCTATTCTATTAACTGTTCATTCGCCTTTATATGCATAAATCTTTCTTTTTACGGAGTTGTAGTTAGTGTGCTTACTTTCTTTTGGTCTTTTTTTTTACATTGTCTGATTCCTTATGGTTATAATTTTTAATGGTGTTGTAGTAAATGCATTGTATTCCATTATGTAAATTCTTTCTTTCTTTCTTTCTTTCTTTCTTTCTTTCTTTCTTTCTTTCTTTCTTTCTTTCTTTCTTTCTTTCTTTCTTTCTTTCTTTCTTTCTTTCTTTCTTTCTTTCTTTCTTTCTTTCCTTCCTTCTTATTTTTTTTTTGGGAGGGAGGGGTATGTGGTGGTCCAGATCTGTGTTTTCTTTGGTGTGGGGGAGTGGTGTCAAACTCAAGTAGAAATGGATACCTGAAGGCCACATGTTGACTTAGAAAACCATAGATTAGTATTATATGGTATTGTATTTTTATTTATTTTGCTGAACATTTGTCAGGTACATTTTAATCTGATTTTTTTGGGCCTCATTTGGGATAGTGTGATGCCTCTGCTGCAGGGAACCATGGGTGAGGAAACTCCCTCTCTCTACCAAGGCATATTGACTCCCATTCCATTTACTGTGTTAGAGAGTTGCTTTGACTGTTGGACATTTAGCTTGTTTCTTTTACTTTGAAATGACAAATAATGTTGATTTATATACGTAGTATTTTGACAGTTGATCTTTGTTTTTATGAAAACTTGCTTAGGATGTATTTCCAAAAGTGGAATTGTTGGGCCAAAGGTTTGATATACATATGTTTAAAAAAGCTTAACTGCCAGGTAAACATTAGCCCATATTTTAAAGAAATATCAGGTATGCAAGTCTTGTACTTACACCTTTTCTGAATTTCTCTATCATTACATCTTTCAGTCTTTGATCCTTGACAAATTGTTCTGAATGTCTGAAATGGAAAATAATAGCAGGTAGGAACTCTAGTTTTGAGTAAAAGAAAAATCCCTAGAGAAATGAAAATATTAAATGTCTGAATTATTTGCAAATATGTAGCTTTAGAGCTGTTGAAAATAGTTTTTAATGAAACAAATAGTGATATTGTTGATTTTTGGAGAATGTTCCTGAATTCTTGTGTTTTTTGTTTGTTTTTTTGCATTTGAAAACTAAACATGGTCAAAATCTGTTTTTGTTTTGGATGAAGAGCAATTTTCTATTTTTGTCTGGATTTGGATTACTGTGTGGATTGCCATGGCAAAAGAGAAGTCAAGTTAGCCAAATGAAATTTTAAAATTTCTTTGGTATTTTGATTGGATTTGTGTTCTCATCATTGTGGGCCCTCCCTCATACTGCTATCATCTACTTAACCTCATCTTGTGTAACGTTTGGCCAACTCCTTTTATTAATCTTCCACAGGGGGCATATTTTATTCCTTACTTCATATTAATAATCAGAAGGGGCTTGAGCAGTTACTTCTGTTACTGCTTGTATCAAGTAATCTTGTGTGATATTCATATATAGAGTAGACACCGTGTTGAAGGAGAGGCATTTCAGGCTGTATGTAGTATTGTTCTCTTAAAAGCAATGGGATCTTGTTTGGTACCTTTTCTGTCAGTTTTGTGTCTGTAAATATGTGGTCTGCTTATTTGTTAATAAAAACGAAAAGCTGGTTTTCCTTTTTTTTGAGTGGAATATTAAGATTTCATTTTGCAAACTTGAGTTTTCCTTATGAGGTATTAAATTCTTTTTACTACAAAAATGGGAAAATTTCCTTTTTATTAAGTATGGTCAATCCCTTCCTTAGTTGTCGGAGCCAGAAAATCTTTGGTTTCAGATATTTCTGTATTTGATCTGTGTTGTATTGGTCAACAAGGACTGCCTGTCTTACATTCTTAAAGTGCTTCACAGTTTATAAAACAAGGTCACCTCTTCTTATTTAATCTTTACAGTCTTTTGAATTGGTCAGGACAGACTGTCATCTCTATCTTATAGATGCTGAGACTGAGAGGTTCATTGACTTCCTGGAAGGTTGTACAGCCCTATTTAAGTGGCAAAACAGAGACAACCATTTCTTAGGAATTGTAGTCTAGATTACTTTTCACTATGTTGTGCTACCCACCACTATATCTGGACCATCTTTGATACTGTGTTTTCTAAAGAATTCATTTATAAAAGTTGTGCTATCACTATATAGTGCTTCGTGATGTTTGAACAATTTTTCTAGAAAGTAGCTCATTTTCTTGTGTATATACACTTTATACATAGCATATATACTTTAAAGTATAACTGCTATAGATCATTAAATCCCATAAAAATATTTATACATCCTTATGAAAATAGTGGCATGTTTATAGTGTAATTAGACAAAGCCTGTTGGGTTAATATAAATGAAGAAATTGAGTTTTCAGATTTTAAAAAGTTGTGTCATCTGAGAGATTTGAAATGTTTTAAAATCATTCCTGTGGTAGTGCCTGATTAGAAGAAAGCTCAATCTTTTTTAAAAAATGGATTCTATTGGAAATCAGTGTTAAAGATTATTTTTCTATGTATATTTTTGTCTAAGAGATACAAATTTCTAAAATAATGAGGCATTTCTTAATGTTGATTAAACTTGGCTCTTTTGGGGAAAAAATTAAAGTGATCTCATTTGTGAGGGTCACTAATATTCATTCTTTCTAGATCGTGGTGTGTAGGTAAGCTGAAGAATCATATGGATTCTACTGCTTTCATGGATAAATTTAATTCCTTAACATAGTTTGTCATCAGACAAAGCAGGTTTGAGATAATGTGGGTTGACATCTTTTTCTGCTTCCTTCTGTCTGTCCCTTTTGCCCTTTGAGGTTTCAGAAGGAAGTTCATGATTCAGGTTGATTGTGTTCTTGTTCTATAGCAAAAGTGAGATTTTATTTTTTGTGAATGGGAGTATGTTGATATGTATAATAAATTTCTGCTTACTACATAGATAGTCATTTATCTTAAATAATACTGTCTCCTTCCTATAATTCGTTGAATAGCAGCTAAATTTTAAGAACTTTATGTATTTCTCATTTAGGACAAACTTGAATAGGGATATGCTTTCTTTAAGTAAAAAAAAAATTGTAGGCATCTTTTTTTTTCCCTCATTACCTTCATTTCCAAATATCCCTTCTTGCTCCCCTATTCAATAAGCAATTAAGGGTAGTTTGTATAGTTTGAAGAATTTTTATTAAAATCATTCCACTTAAGTGTCTCAAAGTTCTGAGGGATACTAAGTTAGGAATTGTATTAGATTTTAGTTGGTTCTTTAAAATATTCT